GGTTCCGCCGCCACCCGCGAGTAACAGTCCCATCTCTGAGAAGTGATGTGGAAGGAGCTGGGCTGAAGCTCACCCAGCATCCCGGTGTCTAAAAAGCAGATCTATGGGCGGTGCGTTTCTCTGTTGGCTAGGGCAAGTTGGCGTTTTGTGAATACGCTGTCAGGAATCCTGCGTGTTCTTGCAAGAAGCTGCCATTACGTTAGTTGTCCAAACAGTGACATTTTCATCTTGTTATTAAAAGTCCTGCAGTTCCCAAAGTTGGCTCAAGAGCTTTGATGTACCTGCATTAAAGTTTCCTTTACATAAGCTTTCACAACTTGTGTCGTCCTTCATGTCCCCCTGCCAGAGGTTATCAGCAACACAGATTTCATAATGCAGCACTGGAAGGCTGAGAAACTAATGCGTGTGGATGTTTTTTCTCCATGCTTGGTGGGAAGGCATGAAATATGCCATGTAAGAGCATAATTTCTTAAGTTAGCAAGTGTGAGTTCCCTGAACACAGAAAGTAACAGAGACACTGTTGCTTAAGAGGTCACTTTTCTCTCCCAGCTATGAGCACTGACCTCCACTATAGATATGGCCAAAAGGAGCATATGCTCATGCTGGGCCTCAGCCACTTGATAACTTAAATTCCACTTTTGCTGTCAGTTCAAGGGAAGATGTTGGCCTCCTCCTGGGTACAAATCTGTATTGGAACACAGGCAGCAGCAGTTACTTTACTGTTGTGGTCTGACATCACAAAAGTGATGCTTTCTTCTCAGAAGCATATATTCACAGTATTCTCGCACTTGCAGTATTCTCTAGCATTGCAGCCTATAGACAGCCAGAGGGGTTTCAGCTCTGTCAAAAGTATTTTTACAGCATGGAGACTATTACTGATAGCAGTACATGATCCATGATTTTGCAAATGCACTTAACAGAGTTAAGACTGCTTGAACTGGAAGTCTCTTTATAAAAAACATCTAGCTGTAAAATACCATGCTTCGTTGCTCCTGTGAATATAATGCTGTATATCTAAAGTGCCTTCCAGGTGCATTATCTTTGGGATTTAGGCCTGTCTGCTCCTATACGAACTATAAACTGTCAATTTTCCCTCCATAAATAGCATGTCTGATTTTCCTCACAGACATACAGCCAAGGGATCGAATTGGCCTGCCAAAAAGAAAAAGAGTTTGTGAAGCACTCTGTAGAATGCACGTGGAACCTAGCAGAAGCCCAGCAAAAACTTGGTAGCTTAGTTCTGCATAATTCAGAATCCTGGGATCAGGAGTCTGCTCAAGCAAAGACTGAAGCTGCAGAGTTGAGATGGAGAGAGGAAGAGTGGAGAAGAAAAGAAGAAGCACTAAACCAGAGGGAAAGACAGAATCTATGGAACACAGATCCTGTTAGTAAGGAGGTATTTAATAAGGTATGACCCGTATCAGTGTGCATGAAAACAAGTGTTAGCTTTTTTTTTTTTCTTTCTTTCTAATTATTACTAGCGTTGAATGTCTTCTGTGTCCAGCACAGCACAAAACCACAGTGTGTGCTAAATGGTTTATTTCTTACTTTTCCTTATGAAAGGGAGCAAGCTGCAAGCTGCACTCATACTACAAATCCAGATGACATTTCTCTACCAGAAGTGTAGATCAGAAGTTGTGTGGGTCACTTACGTATTACATATGAGCTGGCAGTGTGTGCCTGCAGCTCAGAAAGCCAGCTGTGTCCTGAGCTGCTCAAAAGCAGCATGGCTAGCAGGTTGAGAGAGGTGATTCTCTCCCTCAGCTGCTCTTGTGAGACCCCACCTGGAGTACTGCATCCAGGTCTGGTGTCCCTAGTAAGAAATACATGGACCTGTTGGAGCAGGTCCAGAGGAGGGCCATAAAAATGGTCAGAGGGATAGAACATGTCTTCTGTGAAGAAAGGCTGAGAGAGTTGAGATTGTTCAGCCTGGAGAACAGAAGGCTTCAGGAGACCTTATTTACCTTATTGTGGCTTTTCAATACATAAAGGGGGCTTCTAAGAAAGATTAAAAGGTTATTTTTTTATCATGGCTTGTAGTGATAGGACAAGGGGCACTGTTTTTAAGATGGAAGAGGATAGGTTTAGATTGGATACAAGGAATAATTTTTTTATGAAGAGGGTGGTGAGACACTGGAACAGGTTGCTGAGGGAAGTTGTGGATGGCCCATCCCTGGAAGCAATAGACATCAGGTTGGATGGGGCTTTAAGCAACTCAGTCTAGTCAAAGATGCCCCTGCCCATGGCAGGGAGGGGTGGAACTGCATGATCTTTAAATGTCCCTTCCAGTCTGTACCATTCTATGATTCTTTGTAGTGCAAACATTGCTAAATGCACTGAACAATTGTTTCTTCACAGTGTGCTTCTCTAGTGTGCCAAATTCTTAAAATGAGAAACTGTTAGTTTGCCTCTAATAATAACTATTGTAATACAGATTATCTAGCACAATCTTTCCAATCTTTTTTTTTTTTTTTTTCCTTTCTTTCTCTTTTTTTAAGTAGAATCTTGGCTTTGATTTCACAATTTAATTTGAACAGCTAGTGTATCTTCTAATTGCACTGATTTAGCTGCATCCAGGCTGCAATGTACTTGATTCTCATTGTTGACAGATCAGGATGTTCCTGTCTAAGGACAGACGTTTCTGAGAGTTCTCTAGATTTTAATGAGACTTTTACACTCTATTATTAGGTAATGCACTCTTTAAAAGAAAACCTTCTCAAGTATGACATGACTCTAAAATTAGAGCATAGTCCTTTAAATAGTAACATAATACTCCTGTATATCACAAAAATGTGTCTGTAGTTTCTGTGATAGTACAATTTTTCTCTTCCTCAGAGTTTTATTAATCAAAAAAGAAAAGAAACAGAAGATGAAGATGTGTCTGAACCACTTATGCAAAAACATGAACAAAAGATTAGACACTTTGGTGAGTGCTTTTACCAGCAGTTTGCAATTCAAACTTCTGAAGAATTTTGTGTAGGTTTACTACTTATTGTACAGAATGAATGCTAATAAATGAAAGATCTGGCTAACAGTTAGTTTAGCTTTATTTTATCAGGACAGATAATAATTTCAAAGCAAAATAAGGTGTAAACTTTTTGTAAGGAGCTTGTTACTTTATGTAACCAATAAAAACTTAATACTCAAATGAGCTTCAACCCTGAAAAATGAAGTTCTAGCAACTTTTTCTGCTGTTCGGTGGGAAAAGGCAGGGACATTCATAGAGATATGTCATGTGTATAACAGTGCATGGGATTGTTCATAGCTGTCTCCTTTCAGTAAATGTTTTTCTGATGGCTGTGGAGCTACAAGGGTAGTGACTGACAAGGAAAATGTTTGTAAATGCGTACTAAGGGTATGTGTGCATGGAATTGTACATTTCTTAAGATTATATTTAATTATCCACTAGGTGTCACTTTAGTTCTGTCATAATTGTTGAACCCAATTAAACACAAAACTTTTCTTAAAAAGTAATCTGAAATTTTCATGGTTCTCTGAAGTGTCTTCCACATTCTTAGTTACAGGCTGGTGTGGTGTAGTGTAGCCATATTTGGAATTCCAGAACAATCAAGAACAGGACTGAGCTGGAAAAATTCAATTCTTTGTACAAACTCGTTTTTTCTAAGGTATTTAGCTTCTAAGGACCTTAAGCTGTTTCGAAGAAAGGGTTTCTAGTCTTGCTAGATGTAGCAAACCTTGCGATTACCAAGCCAAGGCACAACACTGTCAAGAGTATGCAAACAGGAGTGATAGGATCTTGACACGCTTGAGAGCTGCGCCAGTGCCAGCCTCATGAAGCTCAACAATGTGAAGTGCAAGGTCCAGGTCAGGGCAATCCCAGGCACAGCTACAGGTTGGGTGGAGAAGTAATTCAGAGCAGCACTGTGGAGAAGGACTTGCGGGTATTGGTTGATGAGAAGTTCAGCATGACCCAGCAATGTGTGCTTGTAGCCCAAAAACCAACCGTGTGCTGGGCTGCATCAAAAGGAGCGTGACCAGCAAGTTGAGGGAGGTGATTCTGCTCCTCTACTCTGCTCTCGTGAGACCCCACCTGCAGTACTGCATCCAGCTCTGGGGTCCTCAACATAAAAAGGACATGGAGCTGTTGGAATGAGTCCAGGGAAAGGCCATGAGGATGATAAGGGAGCTGGAGCACCTCCCGTATGAAAACAGGCTGAGAAAGCTGGGGCTGTTCAGTCTGGAGAAGAGAAGCTGTGTGGAGACCTCACAGCAGCCTTCTAGAGTCTGAAGAGGGCCTACAAGTATGGTGGGGAGGGACTCTTCATTAGGGACTGTAGCGATAGGACAAGGGGTAATGGCTTCCATGGGGGAATTTTTGGTTGGATGTAAGGAAGAAGTTCCCACAGTGAGGGTGGTGAGGCACTGGAATGGGTTGCCCGAGGAAGTTGTGAATGCCCATCCTTCACAGTGTTCAAGGCTGGGTTGGACAGAGCCTTGGGTGACACGGTCTAAAGTGAGGCGTCTCTGCCCATGGTGAAGGGCGTTGGAACTAGATGGTCCTTTCCAACCCTAACTATTCTGTGATTCTATGACACTGTCAAATACCTTAACTGCTAAGTGTAATATAGCAGAATTAGAAGACATCTCCCCTGCTGTAGCAGGAAAGAAAAGAGGCTTTCTTGCAGACTTCCTAAGAGTTGGGCACAATTATTTTGTTGTCTAAATTCAGATTTAGTTTTTACAGAAGCAAACTTATTACAGAAGGTCATAATCTTTTCTCTTGCCTCCTAAATTCAAAGGTATGTTGTTACTTTAATTCAAAATAGGTTAAGTCCATTGTATAAAGAGGCAGTGCATTAATGCTCTTTCAAGTCCCTTGTCCTCTGCTAGCTTCTGCCAAGGGGCAGTGTGGACTTTACTGGCCACATTGCATGAGGCTTGTTTCTGGATCCTGCTCCGGCTTCAAAGTAATAAAGAACTTTAGCAAAATAGCTTTCTTGAAAACAGCCAAAATAAATATTAGCCGTTGCTTTCTCTTTAGGCATTTGTTTGCTAGAATGAAGATTAGCTTAGGTCATTACCACTGAATTATCTTTAGCCCAGTTATAATTATACACTGATAGACGGGTAAAGCTGTACATCTGGCACCTGCTGCCAGTAACGACTGTCAGTGATTGTCATGAAGGACAATCTTAGTAAGTCATCAGAGTATTGAGTTCTGATTTTAAAGTCAGCTATTTACATGCTGTCAATCACAATTCAGTCTTCTAGTTAACTTTCCAATACTGTTGTGGCTTTGCTTTTTGAGATCAAGCTGGTCCTGTAATCAAATTTCCTAAAAACCTAGCAAATCATGTTTTAAAAGGACTTTCATTTTTGACAGAAAACACACTTTTGTCTGTGTTCTTACATGCAAATGTTTAGAGGATTTGTGTTTGCTAGAATCACTGAATGTATATCTCTATCCATAAACTTTTTAAACTATTTGATGTAACTGACACCTACACCACTTTGTTACTGGGTATGAGAACTGATTAAAAATAACATATCAACAATGCTAGAGATGCATTAAAATAGAGGAGATTGTGACTGTTAAAATCTACTGTTACCATCTTCTGATTATACCTTCATGTAATGCTCTTTAAGTGTTGGTTAGATATATAAATAAACCCCCCAAATTTAGCTGCATGCTGTCATTCTGAGGTCAGTAAATTGCAAAGGTGTTACAGATACTGGGGTGTGAATGCAAGTAACTTCCTTGATGTATTAAATCAGTAATCCATTTAGAGTATTTTAACAATGTTTCTCTTATTAGGTATGCTGAGCAGATGGGATGATAGTCAAAGATTTTTGTCTGATCACCCGTATCTTGTATGTGAAGAAACATCTAGGTATCTCATGTTGTGGTGTTTTCATCTAGAAGCTGAGCAGGTATGAAAAAGATGCTTAAATTGTTCCCTACCCCACATGCATTATAGAAAAGCTGACCAACTTGTTTAGCTGTTTAACTGTTCTTCCCACCCTCTCTTGACTTTAGTGCATTGTCACAATATTTATCAGTCCCCTTGGTTTTGTGAGCATCAATTCTCATCTGTTTAGGAACAAAAGCAAATTATGCTGGATTTTAGAAATATAATCACAGGAAATGCCTTTAAATCGTATTTTTTTTTTCCTCCCAGAAAAGAGCTCTGATGGAACAAGTAGCACACCAAGCTGTTGTAATGCAGTTTATTATAGAAATTGCCAGAAGCTGCAATGTAGATCCAAGAGGTTGTTTTCGTCTCTTTTTCCAAAAAGCCAAAGTAAGTCAACTTGGGTAAAGATGGAAGAAAATCTCAATGCTGTACAGAGGACCAGTGCTTTAGAGAAGGTTTCTTCCTAACCATAAAAAGCTAAATATTTTATTGACTGACTTAGGTTTATGGGAAAGTGTTTTGTTAGCAGTTCTTTTCTAGACAGAATGTTTTGGTGTAATTCAAATTCTGACATTGAAAGTATAGCGTATTTTGCTTATCCCAGAGGGAAAGTAAGACACATTAAGGGGACAGGTAATAGTTAAATAACAAAAGCAAATGCAGACCAGTTAAAGGACTAATTTGGCTACTTACACCTGTGTTTTCACAGTGTACCTATATACTGTCACAACTTCTCATTTATCTGCAGTTCACAGTGGGGCCCAAAAGTGTGTTCCTTTCTCATTACTGAAATAGAGCAATCCAGAGCCATGCAGGAGGAATGCAGGAAATCTGAAACTGTGGTTTGCTGCAGACTCTATTTGGTTATTCAAGACTCTGATGGGTCTCAGTATTACCTAAAGGAGTTCAGTTAAAGTGCAAGTCAACTTACGCTTTACTTTTGACCAAAGTGTTGCAACAAGCACCTGTACTTCTAACGGGTACTGGTTTCTGAGCTGAAATAAAGGAAAGGCTAAAATTAAGTTTAGGTTTATTAGAACATGTCCTTTGATAAGTCAATTACTTTGCTCTTACATATAAATACTACAGATTGTTCTAATAAGAAATCTATCTGAAATTTAGTTTTAAGTTGACTAACATTATTCTTAAATTGTTCACAGTTGTTATTCCCCAAAGGGTATAACATGCGTTACTGCATGTTTTTCAGCACTGTATATGCTTACAACTCAAAAGTAAATCTGGCTGAAATGCAAATACTTAATTTTTCTCTTTGCAGACAGGAGAAGGCTATTTTGAGGCTTTTAAAAATGAACTTGAGGCATTCAAGACAAGAGTGAGAATATGGTCACAATCGCATGGCTTTCCAACCATGTTAGTACATGATCTCAGTGTCAATCCTGGTCTGGTAGGACAGCTGACATCTTTTTCACAGGTAGGTTTATTATTTCTGGAAATTAGTTAACGTAGGACTAGGTCCTGCCTTGAGAAGCTGTAATATAAAGCTGAAATATAAAGAGGATTATTCCTAGAATTGCTAGTGTTCAGGATATAGTGTGCAGTGTTATCAATATGCAAGGCATATACAGGCTTTCTTTTTACTTGCTGAATTCAGAAAGCTTCAGCATAAGGTCAAAAGAGTGTCAGTTCAGGACCCTTACATTTTCATGCTTAAAATAAACACTGCATCATAAAACTGATCAGATGCTAGAATTGTATTCAAAGTCTTTACCACAAGCAGTGAAATGAGCTTTCAGTGTAAAATGACTAATCCTATTCATGGGATCATTTGGGGAGGCCAAGCCTAAGGAAAGTTTTCTGTGTGATGAAAGAAAATTGAGGATACCTAGGTCTTCTGTTATGATACTACCATTGGCCACATGATGGAGTCAAGAAGCAACTTACAAAATTGTCAAAAATTAGTTATTAGGAAAGAAGTTACAATCAGACTACTTATTTGAAATAATTTGATTACAGTACCTCTCAAGTAAGATCCAACAGCTGAATTTTAAGTAAATGTGCAGTCAAGTCAAGAAATAATGAGACCAAATACAAGCTATGCAAGCAGATTTAAAGAATTCTTGAGACAGTGAGATAATATTGGTTGATGAATTTTTCAAAGCTTATTTCCTTACTGTTGCAGTTTGTCTCATTTTATTGTGGACAACACAAAGAGTCAAACTTCAGCTAAAATTTCCCTCCATATATACAGTTGCAGGTAATTAAACTGTCAATTTTTCATCTGTTGCAGAACACAAGTCATCTACAAGGTTCTATAGACACAGATGTCTGCAGTTTAAACTCTGTGATACAAAGAGATGAAGAAGAATCCAAAATGATGGACACAGTATAGTAATCATAAGACTGAGGCCAACTACTCTTCCTCCCACCCCTTTTTTTCTTACTTTCCCCCTAAAGAAACAAACATGGCTATTTTCTTGACATTTATTTTTCTGGGTACTGCACTTTATTTTTGGTGTCAGATTTTTGTTGTTGTTTTGTTTGGTTTTAGGGGGGACGGAGTTTTGAAGGGTTGGTAATTCAGAAAAACTTGTAATATTGTTTGAAAACGTGCTGCTAGGTTTTTGGTTGTCCTTGAAGAGCAGGGTTCTCATATTGTCAAACGTGAAACCGGATGCGTTTTCTGCTACTAACCTTGCCTTTATGAATTTAGAAATTGAAGTCTGGAAAAAAAAAATCTGCACAAATACAATGTTTACAAGAAGCAGTAGATTCGCGGTAGAATCTGCTCGTGTCTTACCACAGATGTGGACATGTTTTACTCTATGAATATTGGAGATCACAACTGTATTCATGCTACCTTGCTGACGTTATAAGCTCTCAAATTTGGTTATCACTAATAGCAATAAATCAATATCTGGTATCAGTATTTCAGATCTGAATGGATTAGATTAAAACACTGGCTTTCTACCTCCACTAAGGGGATTTAAATGTTACATTGTGCTTTCATTAAATATAACTTCGTTTTGTCCTAAAATGTAAGCAACGCTTGTCTACATATGAGTGCTGGGTTGTATGATTTCTCAGAGTCTTGACTCTTATTCATGAGGCTAACTCCAGGTTTTTTTTAAATCAAGTCTCATTATGAGCAGAAATATTTCATGGAGGGGATGGACAGAACTTGAGGTACAAGGATTAGGCTAAGACATCAGTTTATACAAGAAGCTTTGTCACAGTTCACCTAGGATCAGGTGTCATGCGGGGTGTGATAGATTATTTCATATGCTACTAAACTAAAGTGGGCTTATTACATTGCCAGCTCAGAACAATTAAAGTGGAAAATAATTAAAAAATCTTTTTAATGATAAAAATACTTTTGCAATCCAAAATTCTACTGTGCTTTTCTAACTTTATGCTATTAGAACAGTTCTGTCTGTACGAACATACTGCAGTTGAAAGACTTCAGTGGAAGACACCTTGTATCTCAAATAACGGTATTGGCACACACTCTCAGTCCTTTATTGTTCTGATTGTATGTAAGGTCTGGAAGGTATCTAGATTTCAACAGTTTGATGAGCACAGTCTACCTGCTGCACTGAGATCCAGTAATTTTCAGCTTTGGCTACAGAAAGGATAGGGAAAAGTCTTAAGTCTGCATTACATACTGGAGTGAGTATTTGTACAAAAGCAGTAGCAAAAGTAAGAACTCCTGATCCACTGATAGAAGTAGTTTCTCATGTGCCTTGTGCTCTCTAGCAGCTCTCTTACAAACAGAGGATAAAGGACCAGGCAGCAGCTCTGTCCCACATGCAAATTAGAGATAACCAGCTTCAGTAGTAAATGTTTAAGTTAAGTTTGACAGATACTCCAGAGAGAGTAAGTAAACACCACCTCCTCCTTAATAATTAGTTAATTGTTAAGGGAAACGAAGGGAAACTAATAACTTCAGGTTGTTTTTAACTAAATGTCATGTATAAGGGTAGTAATGGTAGTGTAGCACAGCAACTTGCAATTGCTGCCATTAGCAGTAAAGCCATACTGATCCAGCAACCTGTGATAGACTGGAAGTTATTTTTAAAGTTTCTAAGGGGGTAAAATTGGATGGTGTGGGCATAAGTGTCAAAGCATAAGGAGGTTGCCCCACCGCCTTCTCCTTCCAGCTAACTGAAACTTATATAGGCTGGCAAAAAAACCAAGCATAGCTGCTTTTTATTTAAGTCAAAATGCATAAATAGAAGTAAGCAGTGTATCAGGGTTTCTTCTTGTAATGTGGTAACTACTGTTTTCTAACTATGACTTTTCTAAGGAAGTGGTATCTTAAACTCACTTAGTCTACAGCCTCCATATAGACATTTATGAAGATGAAAGTTCAAGTGGTCAGACTTTTGGCAAACCTTCTCTAAAATATAAGGAAAACTGCTTGCAGTGATAGCTGCAGCCAGTTTGTGCACTTATACTAATGAGAAAGCTTTGTAAATTCTACAGTGACCACCTTTTTTAGACTCTAATGTGTCTCAGTGTTGATAATGCTAAAACTAGATTTGCAAATGTAGTCAGTCCAAGGTGCGTCAGCACCACAGCTTTGTAGTTGTCTCCAAACAATCACTGCAAAAGGAGATTGGGACCTGCACGAGTAGCACACAGCTACTTCAGACATCACCTAGACAGAATTGTATGTTCCTCAGGTTTTGTTGAGGCTTCTTGAAACTCAATCTGGTGAGCATTAAAAAAAAAAAAGCTAGGAGAGTTCACTGAAAACTAGCAATGTCTGCATTACCTGGACTGTTAAAAAGTGTGGCCTGTGGAGTTCTGTAATTCCAATTACCTCGTGAATATATAAAGACAAGAGCTGGTCAGAGACATGAATTCTTAGTATGAAACCATGAAAACCAGTGCAATTGCTGCAGTGAAAGTTGCTACAATAATATGATAAAGTGTGTTAGGATCATCTAGCTCCAGGTTTACCAGGTTAGTTAGTCTGTTTAGTATTTGCTGTCTTCGTACTAATAATGTCTTGGACAGCTGCACAAAGACAGAGGCTTTACCAAATGTGTAGCACATCAGTGAAACTCCACTTTTCATGCCTTACAGCTGCTCTGAGGGCAGAAGTAAAAACACAGCAATAAGGCCAATCATCCAGCAAGTGCTAAGCATAATTAAGCCCAGCAATATCAAGTAACGTGTGCAAGCAAAGCTGGAAGAAGGTGACTGTCTTCCATGATAATGATCTATATACGTATGCCAGTTCTGGTCTGAAATGGCCTTTTGCAGAATAGCGGTCATGGTTTCTGGCTGGCCTAAACTAGTCACACATTCAGAAATGTGTTTTCATGTCCTTACCATTGATTCACCCTACATTTCATGAGTGAGTAAATCAATAAATGTGCTTTGTAATTAAGCTGTATTCTGAAATGTGTTTCCTTCACCAGTCAGTATTTACAAACATAAATATTTTATGAATAAAAGACAAAAGCAGCTGCTTTTGTTGAAGTCTATATTATAAGTTGTTGAAGTACTATAAAATTTAGGTATATTTAATATAAAAAAAATACAGCATTAAAGTGAGAACCACAAGCAACAAAGTTTTATCATAATGTAAGTTAAGGACAACATTAAACTTTAATTATTGATCAGTCTGGTAGTCTACTTAAGAGAAATCCTTGACTGCTGAATCTCATGTAATCAAGTGTGAGCTATGACAGATGAGCAGAATTTAGACCTATTTTCACCTGGTAGTGGCAGCATCTTTCTGGTTTACATCTGGCAACTTGGTTTGGAGGAAAGCATAGATATGTGGCCAGATCTTATTGGTTTCTGTTCCAGGGAAGGATTTCAGTAATCCTTTTTCCCTAAAAAAGAAAAGGAAGAAAACATCACAGAAATGAAATTGCTTTTTTTTTTTTTTTCTAAGACCTCCACCTCATTTTAAGATTGCCCTGGCAGGAGTGTGTGAATATGTAAGTGATTTAGCACCAGTAACAGCCATAACATTGGGAATATAGGCATTATTCTTCAAACAGTAGCCATTGGCCACATCAGTTCATTTAGTAGCTTTCTGAAGTAAAAATGGCTCAAAGCACCGCAGTAAGACATAGGCCTAGGCTACTATTATTATTGAGAATAACGTACTTTACAGATAAAACTGTACTGTAACTGCCAATCCAGAAAATCTCATTTAAAACTTAACTACTTCAAAGATGGAGCTTCTAGTGTTCTGCTCAGCAGTTTTCATACAGCATAATGAAAGGTGGTGAATACAGTGACAGAGAAAGGACAGTTACTTTAGGAGGATGTCAGAGTCCAATTTCTTTGTCTAGGCAAGAAGAGACTGCAGAGCTCCACATGGTAACCTACTATTGTCTGTATGTTAGCACTGTGGTATTTGCAGCTTTACATTAAGAGAAACTTTATGTATAATTTTGACTTTTAAAAGAACCAATAACTTGTTCAATGTGCAAATGGCAGCATTCTCAAATAGCTGCTTATTCACAAGGAGTCGTACTAGCTCTGCCCATCACAGTCCTGTTTTTTGAACAGCCACTTTTAAATCCCCATTAACAGTTCTTCTTTTTGTGTCACATTTCTTGACCCCTTGCCCTTGTTATAGGGGGCTTCTTCTTATGAACCCAGAGGAGAAGAGATGCTGTTATATCTTAAAAAAAAATAAAATTATTTGTGTGTTACTTTACTAAACAGAGCTATGTTGACAGAACAGTATTATAATGTATTGAATAATGCTCTTCATAAATATGGCTGCTGGGAAAGGCTCTTTTGCTACATGCAACAGTGGAAAACACTCGTTTTACTGCACTGATTTTTTATTGAGTTGTTGAAAGATACACTGCTACTCATACTACGTTCACTGTTACAATATCTTTGTAATTGAAGAGATCTGTTCCTCACTATGCTATTATGGAAGAAATTTCTAGAATGTGGAAGAATAGATTTTACTACTTACCGATAATATTCTAGAACAGGTTTTGTTTGTGCATCGTAAGCCTGCAGCCTCTTCGTAACTGTCTCTGGCTTATCATCATCACGCTGAACAAGTGGCTCTCCGGTAATATCATCAATGCCCTAATCATGGTTTAAAACAAACACCGGTGTGTATCTGTTATTAAGTATGTTTTGTGTAGCTTTCTATTTAAATTATGATCAGTTTCCAGTTAGTCAAGCTATAGATTTCTGCTTATTATGACTGCTGCCCATATCTTAATCTGGAATATAAGATGTTGACTTCCTAGTAAAACAGTCCATTAGTTAAAAGTATTTTCTCAGTATTAGCAATGAACATCAAGTCATAGTAACTTGACTAATTTATTCTCTCAAACATTCACTGAATATGGCAAATACGTAGACAAAACCTTTGTATATGAGGGGAAAAAAACATTGTTGGTAATGGCCCTTTGATTTGAAGTTGCAAATATAACATTGACAACAACAGTTGTACAAAAAATAGCATGAAAGCCAGCTAAAGTTTTTCTAGGATTCAGTAATCAGAAGTAGGGACCTAATGAGGACATTATGACAGGTCCTACTTTACCACAAATTTCACCTCCAATTTACTGAAGTGTTTTAAGTGATTACAAAGCTTTTAAGCCTTGAAACCAGCAATGACTGAAGAAATTATTGACCACTGGCATATCCTGTGAAGGACTAGCTAGCGGCAGAAAATTTGGCTCCTCCTTAAATGCATTGAATCATTGTGCATCTAAGGACAGAATATGACCTGCCACAGATAAAAGGGACTCTTTGTTCCTCCTTATATATTAAATAAATCTTCAAGAATTTTAATCTTCCCTGAAGACAAGTTTAGTCTGATATTTGGAGTGGAAACATGAGTGATCTTGCAAGCACAAAGCAAATTAGACCACAAGAATGTTTTTCTTTCCTACTTGCATTCTTGCAGTCCCAGAAAATCAGTAATTGTAAATGTTCGATAAGCTTCTCTGTTCATGAAGGTGTGAAGAAACTCTGTTTCAGAACATCTGTATTTTATTAGAGATGGATTTACATAGTCAAACCTACCTTGTTTACATAATACAATCATTTAAAACAGTCAGTGTGTTTATTTCTAGCATCTGTCCAGGCAGCCATACTAGTGCCTGAATTGTACTTATCAAATACTGAACTTTCAGCCTTGCATTAACTCTAAGCCATAATCATTCAGTTCTGTTGAGTAAGTAAACATTTTGCAGGTCTACGAGATAACAGATATGTTATCTATATTCTGATATACTAATTAGTGTAGGGTAAAGTGGAGTGTTCCTAATAACAAAGCTGAAGCCTACTATTTGGTAGGTCTAATAATTCTTTGTTGCAGTGTTTCCAGTTGCTCACTTCCAGTGCTTACCAGCTATTTCAGCTGACCTCTTTTCCTGAAATCCACTGAAAACACTGAAATCCAAAAACTACAAGGCCTGCTAAGCTTCTGGTGTAACTTAATAGAGCTTCCAGGTGAAATGCGATGTCACAAGAGGTAAGTGATTTAGAGTTACGGATGAAATACAGCTTAAGCCAAGTTGCACTAACGCTACTCCAAGTTCCTCAGAAAGCTTAAGGTAACAACGTACAATCATCTTCAAGTTTACTATTCCTCCTTAGGGTATCTGAAGCCATAACCTCTTTGATCTGTTGAGAAGATTCCCTGACTGGCATGTTTCCACATCAAATTTTTCAAGACAACAACTGGTTCCCTGCAAATACTTGTCCTGGTTAAATATAAACACAGGGAGAACATTAAGTGGGTTCCTCTGACTGGTCATTCACTGTGCTTCCTAGATAAAAAGAATGAGTCCTCTGGAGGAAGGAAAAAGAAACTACATATTGGACCGTACATGCTGCAAACTTGCAGAACAGGCTAAAAACATACCCAACTGCTACGCCAGTATGTAAGACTAAGAGTATTCCAGATCACTGAACAGCTTTAACAGGGACTTTGAAATCACTGTTGCATTCCGCTTTGCAAGGGACAAACACATTTTACCTAAGCTTAAGCTCCTACCACATCACTAATATTCCCACAGAGACAGGTAGGAGAAGGGTTACCAGATGGGTTCTGTGTCCTAAGAGATTAAATGAACCTTTTTCTTCTGAACTACTGTGTTTTGCAACAACACATGCAAACAGTAGTTTACTGCAATTACCAAATGCAATTCAATATTTATTTACAGCCAACGCTGCCATGTATTGCTTACCTGCACTTTGGGAGGACTGAATTCCAGATTGTAGACTCTGCCACTGGCAGGATGGATCCAGCGTGCTGTGAGCCGACATTTTATGGTATCAAATGGTACATCTAGGTCAATCACAGTGTCTATTTGACATTCTTTATCCAGGGCTTCTGCCTGAGCAACCGTTCTGGGGAAACCTTTTTAAAGGAAACAGCTCCATAAAAATCCAAAGTCAGAGTTATAATAAGAATTACCTAGATTCAGTCATTAGAGAAAATAATAGGGAAAAAAACAAACATCATCATACTGCAAAGGTTGAGGAGACACCAGATTTTCCAGCATGTCATGGCAATTCAAATGGATAAATGCCTCCAAGCTTCCATTTTCTTATTTCAGTCAATCATCTTTCTGATAGTGTAACAAATAAACACAAAAAGACCCTACGCTCATATGTACTACATACTACTCTATTGAATAAAAACATTGTAAACACATTTTGAACAATAAAAGCTACAAGCACTTTACTCAGAGGTCTGGAACAATCTAGAAACATTTGTGACAACTCTTAATTCTACAGCTGTGTGAAAGTCTGGCTTAAAGAAGTGATCATTACAAACCTATTTTATTAGTTGCCGTCAGCCCAATGTATCTACCAGAGGCAGTCCAGAATTAATTTTATATTAAAGAGTTACTTTAGAAAGAGCTCTGTAAAGTCTAGTGTATTGAACTATCCTCAGGGATGATGACTGTGAGAATACTCAGCCTGAACACGAATCTGTCTCTTCACTGAAAAGACACTGCCCTTTGCCCCATGAACTCTATGGCTCCAGCAGCATGCCTTCAAAGGCACGCACTACTGTTAGAGAAATCAAGTGGAACTTACAAAGGGTGGCAGGGGAAACAGAGAAGGAGAAAACCAAGGTCTCAAAAAATAATTTTAAATGAAAAATTGACCACAAGAACTTTGGTGGTCAAAGCTATTGCAGAACATGCTATTGCAACAGGGATTCACCGGAATAATACCTCTACCCACAGAGATCTTGCATAGTCTTGTGCTCTTTGGTAGCTTGTAATGTTCATCATACTATAGAAAACTTCTCCTTCAAGGCAAGTACTGATAGGCACAAACTTAAGAAACACTTCTTTGTATAACTCTGGTTGATGAGGTCATCACCTGAGTAAGGAACCAGGCAAGAACTAGCTTTACAAGAGGGAAAAAAAAAAAAAAAAAAAGAAAAAAAGAAAAAAAGTCTTAAAGCTACGGTGTCTTGTCTAACACATCACAACAGGAAAGTGTTGATGAACTCAGACCAAGCTCTTGCTTGTGCATTAAGCCTTGTGCACCTGGTTTGCATCACAGTCATCAACTGCCCCCATCCTATTTCTCTCACGTTCACCTTATTTCATGGAAGTGCTTCTGAATGTTAAGAGCAGAGGGAGAGCCAAGACTCCAGCACTGCTGTTGTTTTTACTGCTGACAAGCTAGTCAGCCACCACACATCTTAGTTATACAGCTGGAAAAGGAGTTTCCTTTGGGACTTAGTAAAACTAAGAGAAACATGCTCAAAAAATTAAGTGCCTTTACAAAAGCATTTAGTCGAAACTGAACCAGTTTCATGCATTCAGTGTTTTCTCAATACAGGAAAAAAAAAAAAAAATCTACAAAATGTGATGAATATGGAGAATCCAGCAACGCAGAAAAAAATGTCCTAATTATACAGCACATCAGTCTAAGCAGATCATACCCACACACATGCACCTCAGTCTGCTGTATCTGCTTTGACTCTAGAAGCCACCAACCTATCCTAGGCAGTGGAAATGGGTATTAGGCTAAGTGAGCATACAAGCAGCTCAGCAACTCTAGTTGGACCTGGCTGACCTCAGCTGTTTGTTCTGAGCTGCAGTTATCAAACTAACGACTTTCTGCTTAACGTATTACAACACAACAGCATTGTTCCTACAGAGCCAATTATGCCAGAGCTATCCCTAGTGTAATTCACTGAGTCTCATTAGAAATGCTGATGCAAACTAAATTTGTGCTCCAAAAGTTTAACGAAGGCGGTATGTTAACATGCAGCAGAATTACAGTCTCCACACCATCCTCCTGTGAAAGAGTTGCCAGTGTGCCCAGCTATACTGTAGCAGTATCCAATTCCATGGGGCTGAAACTGTATGTACACAGGACCTGGGACTAAAGAAAAAACATCTGCAGCTCTTTCTTTTACTGACTAGGTTTCATCGTAGTGCTCACTGTGGAAATTAAGCCTTTGTCTTCAAGAAGGAGGAACATAACTGTGACTAAAATCACCAGAACAGATCATTGTACTAAAAGGAACTACAATTAAAGCACCAAGGGCCAGAGAGCATGGTGGATTTTTCACTCCCTCTAAACAAACAGCCACACCAATATCTTCCTAGTTTTATCTACTGAGACAGGCTGTGACTGGAATCCAAAAACACATACATCCAGCCTAGACGCTATCTTTGTGCTGCGCACACAACTGTACTCCCATGCACTGGGATAACAAAAACACCCAGCCATCTCCATTTGGTTCATGAAGATGGCAGCAAATGCATTTTCCCTCTACTGTGAATGCTGAAGCAATACACTTATGCTGCACAACTGCAGAACAACTCAACCTAGAGAAAAGAACCAAAGAGCAAATGAAAGAGACCTTTTAGAGCACTTAAACAGTGGTTTTGTCAGTGCTGCTGCAGTACTGCTGTCAGTACTGCTGCAGTACTTGCCTTCCATACCTACCTTGTTGCTGCATCACAAACCTACCTTTCTGTTTAAAAAATTCCTCAGCCCCATTCCCCCAAAGTGTTCCATTCCCCAAGGACTTTAACATGAAAAGGCTTTAAAAAAAGAAATTTCTCAAGGCATATTTCGAAGGAGAAATAAAGCATAAGGATTACCATAACGGCGAGTTTTTAAATTTTACTGGAGTGTTCAACTACCCTTTTGAACATGAATTAAACATCCTTGTAACACTCTGAAGGCAGCATGCACCCAAAGCATTTTACAGTCAAAGAAACTGGGGCAGACTTGCTGCTGAAGTCTTCACTACAAGCTGGCAATAAATACTCTGCAGTTACTACAACTTGAGGATGGCTACTGGAGTATAGCTAACCACCAGTGACCAGCTGAAGCTTTCCAGTGCAGCTTTTCTCCCCATATAGTGACATCCAACATGCTAACTTACCATCCAACAGCCAGTTGTACTGATCTAGACCTTTTAGCTCATTCAGCATTAGTCTTGTCATTATGTCATCTGGAATAAGCCGCCCTTGATCAATGTAGGATTTCGCAAGGATTCCAACTTCTGTGAAAGTAAGAGAAGTTGCATTACACTATCTCTGATCTCCGCCAAGCGAAAAAGCGCCCGCAAGCGTGCAAAAAAATTTGTTTTGATCAGGATGGCGCAGAACAGTAAAGCTGTAAACAAGACAGGAAGTACACTTCCCAAAATTCAGTAACAAATGATCCATCAGGATCTGATCATGCAAATACGTATCGGATTAATTCCATCAGTCTGTAGTTCCACAGATGTCAGCAGGGCATTCAGTACACCCCTATGCCCACACCCTCCAAATAACTTAACTGATAAGTATTTGAAATACTAGGTCCAAAAAAATAAAATTGGGAGACACTATTAAGTAAAAGATTCTTCAAAAGAAAAAATGTAAAGGATACAAGTTTGTTAAGATATCAGCCCCTACATTTCCTGTAAAGAAAGGTATTTTCTCAGTTTAGTGGCTAGTTACTAACTTGTAACTTCACTATGAAGAGGAACACCTCTGGTATTTAAGAGAGCAGTATGCAGTGGAACACACTTGCCAGATACGTATTTTTGTGATTACTAGAGTTACAAGAGGATGTTTATAGAAGTTGTGAACTATTTATGGGAGCGTGCAGACACTAGTATTTTGCCATGGAACTGAATAACCTTTAATATGAGTCATTTAGCCCACTGTCTTGCTAAAATGCCATCCACGCATCAAAGTTCCGGATATCACACCGTGCTTCCACAAGACAGGATGCTGTAGCTCACCTAAATTATGGGTACAGTCAGGAAGAAATTCATTTGCCTGGGTTGTATCATAGGCAAAAAGTCCCCATGGCCTTTGTTTATAAAACAATTACCCAATTACGTAAGTCACCCAGAATAGCAGCTAGACTGGTTTTACAGTGGATCTGTGGAAGCCTTTACTTGCAGTCAATTCAGATCTAGTTACAGAAAACTAAACAGAAGAGAAAATGGGGTGGACTGACATGCCAACACAAAATATAACCACTTTCAGCCGAAAGCAATGAAGAATGCCAGTCCCATCACTTGATGCAGTATTGGAACGTTCAGTAGCCAGAGGCCCTTCTTCAGATAAAGCAAGTGAAAAGTACTAGATGTCCTCAAATAATGCAAACAGTATCATGGGCACTGGGGGAAAATAAAGTCATAAAGGGACAATTTCCCCTTACTGGGTGTTCACATCTATAGTCAGGCTTTGAAAACCCTGAAGAACATCTAGAATTAACCATTATGCACCCTCGATCAGACTTCAAATAATCCACACAATGTGGAAAACAATCAGATGCTGGGGTCCTGGAGTCTTCCAGCACATCACAAACTGGAAAGGAGTCTCCCTGCATGTGTACAAAGTGTCTATTCTTTTCCCTACCTCCTTTCTTCGAGGTCAGCAAGTCTTACCTTGTTTGTTACTCTAGTGCACTTTGAACTATGAACCCTGCAAGAACAGAGGCTAGGAGGATTACATCTCAACAGTCTAATGTGTACCTCAATGCATGGACCTGTTGCTGATTTACACTGCAGGACTGCTCTAGCCACAATGCTGTAAGAATATGCAGAAAGCAAGGTTGATAGAGAATGAAACTAACATACTCTGGAAAGATAGAGTATGCTAGATGAGCTTTTGTGCCCAGAGAGGTTTGGAGTATGGCAAGCTGACAGGTCCCATTATTACACCAACAGAGCTGGAAACACACTGCTTCTCTCTACAAACCTCAGGTTGTTCAGAAAGTCACTATTACAGAAGGAAAAAAATAGGCACGAATAGTTATATATTAGGACAAGAAATTTGCATACCACAACTGCTTCCCTCCCCCCTCCCCCCCCCCATTTTTTTCCCCTTCCTGTTGTGAAGGCTTGGATTTTGTGAGGTTTTGTTGGGTTTATTTTGTTCCTTTTTTTTTTCCCCCCAGATTAGGTCTGAAACCACTACAGGCATGGCAGTCTTTGGAATTAAAAGCAACACAGGTTTCTTCCCTGCCTAGGTAATAACAGGTATCTATATTTCACAGTTTTGCAAAAGATTGGCATGTCCTAACCAAATTACAGCACACAAGCTCTAGCTATATTCAGACAAGTTGCTTAGCACTTGAGAGGTGGTCACAGACTCTCCACTCTCCAAAACAGCAGAACATAGTAGTAACATAAGGATGCTCACATGTTTAACAGGACTCTTCAACAGACAAAATCCATTTTCAGGAGACAGTGCCAAAAACGTCACTGCATAGCTATTGTTATTTACTTTTCCAAGTGTTTTAAGTGCCTAGCTTACAAACACAGTTTCCAAAGAACTGGGAATTGCAGGACTTCTCTGTTAAAATCAAAACTCACGAACTCTTTGCCTCGACTAAACTTGTCAGAGCTTTCTGAGTTGCCTCTGTCCTTCCCCTCCCTCAGTGTACTTGCTTACTCCTGCTTCATCAGTATTCATCTCAATCCTTTAAAGACCATTTCTGCAATGAATGACTCTCAGTAAAATTAAAACAGAACTTCATCTGGGTTAGTTTGTGAATGAAAAACTGTAGCAGATTTTTGTAAGTTCTATGCTACCTAATTCAGAGCAAATTTATCATCTTTTACACCCTCCACTGGCTTCTCTCCCCACATTTGCAGTTTTAACATGTCTGCTACCCTTTCATCTCACATCTTGGTTCTCCTTCACATTCTTTCATCTGTCCAACCCACCTAGAACACTTTGCCAAAATCACTTTTCTTTCCACTACTTCCTGGCTCCCTCCTCAAATCAAGCAATGGGATATTTCCACTTGCAATTTTCCTCTTCTCACACAGCTTTCTGCTTCATTCTTTGATCTTGCTTCCAAGATGTAATGAAAGAGCACAAAACCTGAAGTATGCAGTAAATAACGTATTTCCTTCATCTTCTGGAACACCTGCCTTTCTCAGGAGGTCTCACGCATGCTCAAAGTTCCTAACAGCTACAATTTTGTTTTTGTGACCCTCTGTAAATAAAAACTTATGCTTGCACAACCCAGTACACAGAAAAAGCATTAATGTGATAGATATGCCTGCACAGGTGGTGCTTCTAGCAAATGTTTAACTTGTAGGTATCAACTGTAGTAAAGTCAGTCAACTGATCCAAATTCATTGTTCTTACAGAGCAAACAACTCGTGTGAAAAGAGATGCGGAAATCACATCACAACTGATTTCATAATACAGATAATTCTTCACCTTCAAACATGCTTATAAGCCTCCAAACCCAAGAAGTTTGCCAGTTACCTAATCATAGTATTGCAGTGATACTTACAAGTGAATATAGTCCCTTCCAGCTTCAAAGTACTGGAAGTAACAATACTGTCACTTCATCACATGCAATCTGAAATGGTTCTTACAAGGTTTTCAACCCCACCGTGAAGCAAAGCAAATTCAGAATTCTGGAAGAGATCTTTCATCATTGCAAAAATCCACCAGAGAGCGGGGTTGTGGTATCTTGGCAGAAAGCTAGCGGTCAAGCTACAACTATGTAACATAGTTTAGTGTAATTCATGTCACTAACTAATTCAAGCAACTATGCATGCAAATACAGATCATGCTGAAACTTAAGCACATGGAGAGACAGTAATAATATAAAAAGCATGAGGTAAGCAGTCTTGAGAAAGTCTGCCCCTTGTTTTTGGAAAGCACCACTACAGTTAACCTGCCAGTCTGGGACAAGGCCTTTGGTTTTTGGAATAGTTGTCAAATCTAGGTATCTCTACTTTGTCATCTGAAAGTCACACTGCCCAGAACTCCTCTTGCCTTGCCTGTTAAAAACAGGAGTATTTTTCCCTTTAAAGATGTTTCAGCTGGAAAACTATCAGAAATACCTAACACACACACACACCCCCCCCTCTTCCCCCCACTTTTTAGTGATTAGAAACACTAAAAAACCCCACTGGGTGCTTACACAAAGCATGGAGATGGAACAATTAGGTGTACCAGAACAAGAAAAACGAGACAAACCCCAGATATACGCCATTCATGCTTACACAGAGGATGCCAAATGACAGCTTTTAAAGGTTCCTTGATTAAAGCCTTGAGGCCCACTCCGGAAGACGTCCTGCTTTGTGCGGTGAAGCACACAGACGTGGGACTGGGGAGCAGCAAAACCCTCTTCAAGAAGCCCCCAGCGGCTGCCCGGTGAGGAGGAGAAGGGACAGGAAAGAGCTGGGCGGGGGAAGGACCGTGTCGTGTGTCTCCCCACCACGGCGGAGCGGGACTGTGTCACGCAGGAGCTTCCTGACAGGCTGCGGGGAGCCGGTTCCAAAGGGGGGGAGGGGGG